CCCCCCCAACCTGGTATAGGTGGTAATCAATCAACAACGCCACTTGGACTTGACTTTGTCCAACTGGTCAGCCTCCCAGGGAATCAATGAGCACAAATCTGACCTCCAGAATAACAATATCCAAAACAACTGGAGGGGGTTATATTTCTCTACCACTGAAATCAAGGTGGCAGCTTTTAAGAAAGGGATGATGAAGACCAATTTCATCAAGACACAGCTGAGCTAAAATGCTTCACAATATTTAACACCAGTTCTCATGGATTACAGAGACCATCTTCTTATCACATCACATATTAATTAACATATCTACATTATTTGTTTATTTATTGGGCTTAAATTCCACTCTACTTGCTGAGTGGCATACCTACCCAATATCTGTAAATCAAGCTGAAAGGGAAAAAACAAAAAACAAAATTGCAGTGATAATAACCAATAACACATATACATATATGCCGGGATTGTCAGTTACATTAAACAACCCCCAAGCCAAGTTGTAATGGCTTTCTCAGAAACCCTAATCCATATATCCTATCTAACTATCGCTTTAGTAAGGAACAACATCTATCCTAGGGTGTTTCAAACTGTTCTGTGGAAGCGTTCTTTTTTGTTTTATTTTCTTTATTATTATATATTTTTGAAAGAATATTCTAAATAGATCATGCAGATAAAAGAACTGAGTATCAAGGTCTATCATTAGAATTTTGCCTTTTGATCAGGGGTTCCAGGAATTTTTTTTCATTAACAAGTTCTGTGCCTTGTAAAAGTTTGAAAACCTCTGATCCATCCTCTCTCTCATTTCTCCTATTACCATTCCCCTTGCTTCTTTAACCCCTGATCAAAAGGCAAAATTCTAATGATAGACCTTGATACTCAGTTCTTTAACCCCTGATCAAAAGGCAAAATTCTAATGATAGACCTTGATACTCAGTTCTTTAAGAACTGAGTATCAAGGTCTATCATTAGAATTTTGCCTTTTGATCAGGGGTTCCAGGAATTTTTTTTCATTAACAAGTTCTGTGCCTTGTAAAAGTTTGAAAACCTCTGATCCATCCTCTCTCTCATTTCTCCTATTACCATTCCCCTTGCTTCTTTTTCTTCCTGGGTGTGTGTGCACATGCGTACTTATTCTATTCTCAGCACCAGGCTCCATCTATCTGTGATAGTAGACTATAATCCATGAACATTTAGGAAAAAAATGAAGTTCTTAGTCTTTAAAAAGCCATCAAACTCTTTTTTTTTTTTTTTTTTGCTATGCAAGTCAGACAACTACTGGAAATGTGTGTGTGTGTGTGTGTGTGTGTGTAGAAAGAGAGATACAAAATGCAACTATTGCAAAAACATAATTCTCCAGTAATCTGTCACCCCAAAGAAAATAAGCCTGATTAGAGCCACCATCTGAAAACATCTTACCTGCCAGAGAAACTAAGTGGAGGAACTTTTGCAGATTCAGGAATCAGGATCTGATTCAGTATTCATACTGCAAAAGTGATCATGTGGTGGACAAATATTAAAAAGACCCTATAATAAACAAAGAAACTTGTAATACAGTACAAGAACCTGAGGGAAAATGGACTACAGAAAGAAAATTGGTGCTAGATAACCAGTTTCGTGAAGGCATCACCTGCCAGGTCCATAAAGAGGGTCTAAGAAAGGGGATAAGAAACGCTTGTCCAGCTAGGGCTCCTGGCTGCTTGTCATCTCCTAATTCATCTCTGCTTATCTACAAAAAACTCCTTCTTCCCTCAGCCAAATGTCCCTGTGCTAAGGGAAGTACCTCAGCCTGTGATGGGTTTCCCCAACCAGGGACCTTCCGGATAAGAGGTTTCAACTCAAACCACTCCCAACTAGAAACAGTAATTAGCTATCAGTGGCCAACATTGGTGCCCACACTCTGGAGAACAACAGGGAAAGTCCCTTAGAGTCACACTGAATCATTCACCAGAATTGTACTTCATACACAACTAGGGATGTACGCTGTTCCTGTGACAGTATAGCTCCATCATGTGGCAAACCCATGCAAGGCAAATGAAAACTATACTGGACTGGACTGCATTCCTGTTCATCATTCTTATTAGGGCCATACTGTCCTTTGGAATCAAGGGCATAAGATGCTTTGGAGCATGAAGGGGCCTGAACGCAACTCC